TAATTTATTTTATTTTAATATTTAATGTTGAAGGTCAATATTAATTCAAAAATAAGTTATTTAAAAATGTTATTTTAATGTTTCATTTATTTTATAATATATTTTATATAATTATTTATAATACTTCTATAATAATTTATACATTTGTAGTATTTATAATAAATTAGTTATATTTTATTTATTTAAATATTTGAAATGTTGAAAATCAAACACATGGCATTATGTTCTAGAAGTGCCAAAAACAAATATCAATTCAAAAATACAAATGGAAAAAAGTTTTCATTTTAGAAAGCTTTTAGTTGTTTTCATGTTAAATCATTAAAAAAATTAAAATCGAGTCCAATTTACTAGATAATACCAAACTGTAACAGTTGAACCATTTCTTAGCATTTGTTTTATTCAATCATGCAGACAAATCATAAATTAACAAATTGTGCAGAAAACACCTAAATCGATACAATATGAAAATACAATTTGAAAGTGTAAAAAGTGCATTGCAACAAAAAAAGTTCCTCTGTGTGTTTTACAGTGAATCAGCAGATGTGTGTTTGCAGCTGTTCTGCTGAAGGTCAGGCCGCCGTCAGCTGTGATCCCACGCGCTCGAGTGCGTCCTCTGATGAGACTTCAGACTGGAGCGCTGCGTGAAGCGTTTCCCGCACTGGCCACACTGGTACGGCTTCTCTCCGCTGTGCACCACGGCGTGCCGGGTCAGATTGCAGTGTTTGGTGAAGCTGCGGCCGCACTGAGCGCAGGCGAAGGGCTTCTCGCCCGTGTGACAGCGCAGATGCTCCTTCAGCTGACTGAACCGACTGAAGCTCTTCTCGCAGTACGAGCAGCTGAAGCGCTTCTCCACGCTCGCGGGCGGCCCGTGACTGAACGCTGGAACCGAGTCGACTACTGCGCTCGTCATCTGATCGTTTGCATTGATCTGTTCAAGCTCATACAGCTCCATTTGTGTCTCCACGGCATGCAGATTATCTCTGGATGCTCCTGTGCTGAAGACCGCCGTGTTTCGTGACGTTGGACACGTCCGCTCTGTGTCTTCAGCGGTTGTTTCAGGGACCGTCGTCCACAGCTGAACAAACCTCGGGTGGACTCTCGGTTCCTCATCGTCCTTCTCGGCTTTAAGCTGGAGTCCCAGACCGCTCAGACGCTCTGTGGCCGTCTGTGAATGTGTGCAATGTGTGTTGTGGATCTCTGAAGCTCCTAACAGTGGTTTTTGGTTCTCCATGTTCTCCTGAGCTTGGATCTGCTGGATGTTCTGCTGCTCGTGATCGAAGGGACGATTCCCTGTGTGTTAAAGCAGAAAGAGTACTTATCATAAAATTAATAGACTTTAAAATAATATACTTAAGTGTGAACTTAATTGTAATTAAATGATAATGCATTATAGTTTAAATGTAGATTAAAAGCAATTAGTTGAACTTAAGAGTGTTTTTAATTTACCTACTTAAGTGGGACTTAAGTTAATCTTTTCCCCCCGGTTTCATAGACAAGGCTTAAGCCTAGTCTCAGACTAAAATGCATGTCTGGGCTGTTTTAACGTTATCTTAAAATATGTTTTGTCTTAAGATGCACACCAGTAATGTTTTTTTAAGCTACTTAAAATGTCTTTGTGAACTATGGCCTAATCATGGCTTAACCTAAGCCCTGTCTGTAAAAACATAATTAATTCTATTGTCTTGCTGAATGTACTGACAAGCATTTATGATAAACTAAAATATACTGATATACTTTAATGTCACTTTAGCATACTTTAAAAAATAACACTTATTACATAAATAATATACTGTAAAAGAAAATACATAAGCGTAAACTGTATGTAATGTTTTCAGACACTTGATTGCATGTTAATTGCAATTAAATTAACATGTATTGAAGTTTAAATTTATATTAAATGCAATCAGTTGAACTTTAGAGTGCTTTTGACCCACTACCACTTAAGTACAACTTTATAAGTAATTTCATAATTACTTTTAGGGTCTATTAAATGGTTAAACTGACAAGCGTAAACAAAATTTATGATAAACTAAAATATGCTTTAATGTCGCTTTAGCATACTTTTAAAAAGAGCACTTATTACGGAAATAATATATTTTAAAAGAATATACAGAACTTAAGTGAGAACTGAATGTAATGTTTTCAGACACTTAATTGCATGTTATTTACAGTTAATGAAAATGTATTATACAGTAGTTTAAATGTATATTAAATGCAATTAGCTGAACTATTAAACTATGTTAAAGTAAAATATACTTTAATGTCACTTTAGCATACTTTAAAAAAAGAGCACCTTTTATAAAAAATACTTTTTTTAAAAAGAATACTTATTACGGAAATAATATAATTTAAAAAACTATATATATAAAGAAAATGTATTATAGTTTACATTTAGGTTTTTTGATCCACTTAAGTAGGACTTAAGTTCATCTTTATGTAATTTCATAATTACTTCTAACTTCCATGAAAATTTGTTAATGTAATTTCTATTAAAACTTGTATGTCATGAAATTAAAATACATTTAAATACACATTTGTAATGATGAAGTTGCAGCTTAGTACATTTAAAATATATTAACATTAAATATAATATTGAATGACACACTAATGTTAAAATTATAATAAAGTGCTTTACATTTGCTTTAGTATGTTAGTCAACACATCAAAATAAGTGTACTTCTTTAAAACACGACAAAAGATTAAAACATAACGATTTAAATTGTGCTTTAAAGTAAAACTTTTAATCTGACACTATTACAAAAAATGTACTTTTTAAAAGTGTCCTTAAGTGTGTTAAGAAACAGTCATGAAAGTAAACTCTTTAAATATACTTAGAAAGTGGCCTTTTATTTAAATAATATTATATTACCTGCAAGCAGTGTTGGGGAAAGTTACTTTTAAAAGTAATGCGTTACAACACTGTCTGCAAGTACAGTTTTTAAATATAATTTTATGATTTTAAGTACACACAATTAAGTGCACTTCTTTTTGCACAAGGCTAAGTGTTCAAGAAATGTTTTATTTATTCACCCTCATGTTGTTCCAAACCTGTATGACTTTCTTTCTTTAATCGCAGAGCTGAGTTAAACGCTAAACAAGAAAAGTATTAAACATTCTGCAGCTTCCACAGAAGATATTCTAACAGGGTTCGAGCATCAGTGTATCTCTGCGTTTGTTCTGTCGTATCAGGATTCATCTGAAGTTTAGTTTTCTAGTGTCAGATGTGATCGTACCTCGTGCACCGCTGCCGGATTCCTGTTCCTGTCGCTCTTGTTTAATCACTGGAGATCTGATTCCCTCCTCCAGCGAACAGACAGACTACAAAACACACCAACACACATCAGTGTTTCAATTCAGTCCGATTAATCAAACACAAGAACCAGCTGAAAACTGAAGTCTGTTGAGGTTTATCAATGATTAAACCAAAAATATATATATTTTTAAATAGATTTTATGTTTAACTGTCTACAATAATAATAATAATAACACACACAAAAATACAAATAAAAAATATATATAATAATAAATAAAATAAATTATTATTATTATTATTATTAAATTAAAATATATATAGGTCAAAGACATTAAGATCCGCATCAAAATAAATTTACAAAAGTGATTTTATGTCCATAGAAAGCACAAAACAACAACAATTTAAAGCAGTATTACACTTGTTGTTTTTATGCTTCAACCCTTTTTCGTCTTTGACCCATGTATATAAAAAAAACTTCTAAAAGTAAAGATTTTCGTAACTTTGCAGCTGCGCATAATTTGTCGCTCTGTGATTTTTCCAAGCCTTGAAATTATGATTATGAAAATGTCCTGCTGTCTCCAGGTTTGTGTGCGTCACCTGATCTGATCTGGTCTGATCTGGATTCTGGTCTTGATCTCTGATCGCAGGCACGTCGGTGTCTCTCGGCGTCTTGAACCACACTGAAACACATTACACATCTGCTAAACTCTTTATTCAATTCATAATATTCATACTAGATGCAGATCTGCATTAGTCAGTCTGCACTAGAATCCTTCATTTGTATTTATTCCTTCCTATAGATTATGTCATAGTTATGGTTTTATGGTGCCATGGTAGTAGTAGGATGCTATTCCTTGCAGTACCATGGTGCATCAATATAATAGTCCTATGGTACCATGGTATTACTACAGTAGGCTACTTCTGTGTATGGGCAGTGATGACCTCTGACCTGTCCTCCTGCCCCGCCCTCTGCCCCTCCTCAGCTCGCTGTCCATCAGCACGCATTTCCTCTTGAGCGCCTCGATGTCTCTGCGGCTGCGGCTGAGCTCCAGTCTGATGACCGCGCAGCTCTCCTCCACGCGCCGCTTGATCTCCGCTTCCGCCGCTTTGGCTGCGATCTCCATGAAGGACACCAGCTGCGCCTGGAACGAGCAGTACGACATGATCTTGAATCAGAACCACGGGCTTTATATATTAAAAACCGTCCAATGCCGAATGTGCTTCGAAAATACACCCTACAGAACTAGATCGCCACGGCCAGCGGTTTAAAAAATCCACATATATCCTCAAAGAAACCGAATAAACTGATAGAATGACAGCGAGAATGACAAGACGATGACAGAATGGGCGGGGTTTAGCGGGCAGGAAATAATTATCTTTTTTTTTTTTCAATTACTCTTTTTTTTATTTTAATTGCGTATTTCACCACGTCTGACTGTTTTAAATATATACATTTCCTCAAAAAAAAAAAAAAACGAATAAACTGATAGAATGACAGTGAGAATGACAGGACGATGGCAGAATGGGCGGGGTTTAGCGGGCAGGAAATAATTATCTTTTTTTTTTTTATTACTCCTTTTTTATTTCAATTGCGTATTTCACCACGTCTAGCTGTTTTAAATATATACATTTCCTCCAAAAAAAAAAACAACGAATAAACTGATAGAATGATTAACTGTTTTAAATATAGAAATTTCCTCAAAGAAACCGAATAAACTGTTAGAATGACAGCGAGAATGACAGGACAGTGACAGAATGGGCGGGGTTTAGCGGCCAGGAAAACAACAACAACAAAAAAATTATATATATATATATATATATATATAATTTTTTTCCTCAATGTATATTAGTTTGTAAGCTGTCCGTGGTGTCCTTATATAGCCTAGGTGTAAATATTATGCACTGGAAATATCAAATTCCAGTCTTTGACTTTTACATATATAATATATTTATACGTTCTAGTGTACAAATATCTTCAATGAAACAAAACACGTCAGATTTGAATGCGTCTCAAAGTAGGATCGGCGTTCTGGGCCCCAAAGCGCCTCCTGGTGGAAAACAGCAGAAAACACTCGCTTCCGGACACCATACCGTAAATATACTAGATTAATAGCCCATAATCTGTCTCTCAGTGGCTGCTACACACTTTTTTATTGAACTTAAAAGTGCTCAAGTGAGGTACGTTTTTATATCAAAGCTACAGTTATTACACACTCAAATAAAAGCATTCTCTAACTAACTCGAAAGCTTTACTTGACATTGAAATCATTTTACACGCACATAGGAATGCATATTTGCAATAACACGCAAAATTATATATCATTATAGCTCTATCACGGTTATATGAAATACCATGTTTTTATTTGGTATTTAATATTTTTTTTGCATGCATACATGCTACCTTTGAATGCTTTGATATGGTTTATCAGATAAATAATCATTTTGTACTATGGTATAGGTGCATATATGAAAATACTCTTGAATATAGTACTATAGGAATACTAATTTTTCTGATTTCAACATGTTGCAATGGAAATGTCACGTTTTCTTGGACATTTGCCATGTTAGAATAATGTTTTTTACTACCATGATATATGCATATATTAAAGTACTGTTGGTTTTTTGGACATAGTACCAAAGAAATACCTATTTTGGTTGGTTTGGTTATATTTTACCACATGATACAATGAAAATGCCATGTTTTCTTAAACATTTACCATGTTAGGGCAATGCAGTTTTTTGAAGAACCCTGGAATACCATGAAAATACCATGGTAATGAATATGGTAATCCTTCAATATCACCTAGTTCTGCTCCAGCTTATGCATTAATATAGTTCCTACACTTGTACACTATGAATATCATTGCCTTTCATGACAAATTGCATGTGATTTTCCTCATTTGCAAGATGCTTAAATGCATAAATGTAAAAGCAATCATATAATATGTGTTTTTTTGGGTACAGTATAGTTTGTTTTGTTTTTCAGCAAGATGCAACAGAAATGGCATGCTTTCTTGGACATTTACCATGTTAGGAGCACCATGAAAATACCATGGTAAGTGTTAATTGCTGTAGCTTATCTATTAATATGACCGGCCTTTATGACAAAGTGCATGTGATTTTCCTCATTTGCAAGATGCTTTGTAATGTAATGTCACTGTAATGTAAACGTAATCTTAGTTATATTAAACTACTGTGGTGTTTTTCACAGTTTTGTGACCTGATGTCTTAGGCTGGGGAATAGCATTGGCCTGATGCTTCACAGATGGATGAACGCAGACACCAGGTCGAGATAAAGGCGTATATTAGAAATGGAGAATCAAGACAGAAAGTAAAGACTCAGGAAGTCACTGAGGGAAGTTTAGTGGTTTCTTGCGTCACAGACACTTTACACTGAAGCTTGTGCCGGTGCAGAGAGAAAGGTAAGGACTGGAGGCTTTTCTCTATTCTTCTCCACGTTTCTCGTCTCAGTTCTTCATTCAGGTTTGCTTCTAAAGATGCCGGATCGTACGCTCATAGGATGTTATCGGGGGGGGAAAAGGCCTGGGTTTATTTGATGATGTGAGCGTAAAGCACTCGTGGCCTTCAGATCTGATCAGTCATTTCCGCAAGAGCACCAGAGAGGAACAAACTCGCTGAAAAACACAGACGAACGTGATGCAAAACCTTCACAAGCTGTCGGAGGCTTCAAAAGCATAGCAGGATTTGAATCGATCTTCTCGGTTTCTTCTGGAAAGATATGAAGAGCGTGTAGAAAGGGTGTGGCCTTCAACTGGTGCAAAACTCAGAAAGTAAGACGAGGAAGCGCTGGCACCGAGGTCTGCTGGAGATGTGAAGCTCTGCGGTGCTTTACCAGAACTTCTGTCGAGCTTCAGCAAGCAAAATGTTAAATGCATTTGTCATGGTTCGTCTCATTTGCTCTCCGTTTAGTCGTTGTCCTGTTTTTGCGTTTCCTTCTTGCATTTCTGCTGTGCTTTTTTGTGTTTCCTGTGGTTGTGAACCCAGAGCTTTATGCAGTTTCATAATTCAGGCGACTCAATGGAGTTTAATGTGTCGGTTAAGCAATTAAACATCAATATTGATTTCAAATCAACTACATTTACTTGAGGCGCAAAATGACGTCAGTTGTTTTCTACCACTGTGATTTTACCTCTAGGTTTTGGATGGATGTTTTTTAATTCGATTTCAATGAAAATTAGAAATAGCCATTCCTTAGTTTTAGGAGATGGGATGCTTTTTAGGAATATTTTGAATAACCAGTTTTCTGAGCTTGCTTGTGAATATGGTAATTTTGGTGGAATGTAAACCTTTCTTTACTTTCTTTACTATTTCTTTCTACTTTATTTTATCTTTCTTCTTACTTCGATTCAGTGAGAAAGTCTGAAATACTTAAAAAAAAAATAAGGAAGATGGAATATATATATACTGTAAAAAATGTGAAAATGAATGATGGTGGTTTTCTTACATTGGCTGATAATTATACTTGTTTTAAGCATAAAGAAGACTCATTATCATGTCATTTTGCATCTCAAATAAATGTATCTTGATTTAATAATGTTTAGATATTTGTAGTGGAAAACAAGGCAAAGATACTGAGGAAGAACATCATTTTTTGCAACGAGTAAGAGTGTAGAGCTTAAAATGAATGTGGATCATCTCAGATCATTTAATCTTGTGAGAATTTAAATCAAAACACCAACAAGGATCTATAATGAGATATTATAGAAACGTATTAGCCTACAGAGAACTATAAAGCAACTCAAAACCTTCAACAACCTTTATTTTTAAGAATGAGGACAGGATTGTTGTTATTCTGAATGTTAAGGCTTGTATATTGTTTCTTTCTTTTTTATATATAGATATATTTCATATCTCTGCATATGAAGCATCTGTTCCATCAAGCAGTGACGCACGATGTAGTTGATCAGTGAACGTCAGTGCATGAGACGTTCCTTACACTCATATAATACTGTCAGATATTCTACAGCAGCCGTCATGTGAGCTTTAACTTCAGTGATTCACACACACACACTCATTAGATCAGCTCACACACACACACACACACACACACACACAAGGCCTGGATGATAGAGAGGAGGTGAAGGAAAAGCAAGATGAGGAGAGGCCGGAGAAAAGGAGGCAGTCGGGACAAAGTGTTCGGATGCGACCTGCTGGAGCACCTCAACTCCACCGGACAGGAGAGTGAGTTCATTCACACACACACACACACACACACACACACACACACACACAGGTTTGTTTTTGTGAAAAGTGGGGACATCCCATAGGCGTAATGGTTTTTCTACACACACACACACTCACACACACACACACTAACACACACACACGCACACTCACATGCACACACACTCACACACACATGAGTTTTTCTGCTTTTATCATATCAAACTCTTTCTTCTCTCACGTGAGCAGTTCCTCTAGTGTTACGCAGCTGTGGTGAGTTCATCGAGAAACATGGGATCGTCGACGGGATCTACAGACTGTCTGGAGTGTCGTCCAACACACAGAAACTACGGTGTGTGAAACAGGGTTATTAATTATAAATAAAACCATAACAATATTTTTAGTATTTGAAATAAAATGAATGTTACCTGAAATAAAATGTTAAATTCTATATATATATATATATATATATAGATATTATGAAATTGTTTTATTTTTTAAATTATTTTACTTATTTTTTCTTTTATTTAAGGTAGCAACATTTCTCATTTTCACTCAAGTTTAAGTAATAAAAAAATTAAAATAATACTCTTAATAAATGATCATACCGTTACTTTTATAATTAAGAGTTTCCTTAAAATAAGAGATTTTTAATTTTATTTTTTATTTAATTACATTTTATTTTTTTTAATTTAAATTATTTGTATTATTGGAGACACATACATAAAATCCATAATAATTTAAATATTTTTGGTGTAATGCATTAATTACAAATAAAACCATAAAAATATGTTATGTTATGAAATCAAATAAATTATACATTTAAAAATAAATAAATATAGAAAAGATAAACTTCTCATTCCCATTTAGTTTATTTTGAAGTACTAAAATTATTAAAAGAAAACTGAAGTAAAAACACAATACAGACATTTAAAAAAAAAAACTAATAAAAATCACAAAAACACAACAAAATTACTAAAACTTTAACTAAAATGAAAATGGAAAATATTACATTTAAAATGAATTCAGAGAAGGGAAATATAATAATTTGTTCACTGTACACACTATGTATACATTGTATAGTTTTGTATATTTTTTCACAAACATATCTGCTCTATTCTTTTTTATTCACATATTTCTTGATGGTTATATTCTATATTCTGTGTTTTATTATGTGTGTGCATGTCCATAATTTATTGTTGGCTTAATTAAAATAATACTCTTAATAAATGATCATACCGTTACTTTTATAATTAAGAGTTTCCTTAAAATAAGAGATTTTTAATTTTATTTTTTATTTAATTACATTTTATTTTTTTAAATTTAAATTATTTGTATTATTGGAGACACATACATAAAATCCATAATAATTTAAATATTTTTGGTGTAATGCATTAATTACAAATAAAACCATAAAAATATGTTATGTTATGAAATCAAATAAATTATACATTTAAAAATAAATAAATATAGAAAAGATAAACTTCTCATTCCCATTTAGTTTATTTTGAAGTACTAAAATTATTAAAAGAAAACTGAAGTAAAAACACAATACAGACATTTAAAAAAAAAAACTAATAAAAATCACAAAAACACAACAAAATTACTAAAACTTTAACTAAAATGAAAATGGAAAATATTACATTTAAAATGAATTCAGAGAAGGGAAATATAATAATTTGTTCACTGTACACACTATGTATACATTGTATAGTTTTGTATATTTTTTCACAAACATATCTGCTCTATTCTTTTTTATTCACATATTTCTTGATGGTTATATTCTATATTCTGTGTTTTATTATGTGTGTGCATGTCCATAATTTATTGTTGGCTTGTTTACATCACATGTATGTAATATGTATGTGACAAATAGAGGATATCAGTGATACTAAAATGAAAACTGACTTCATACAGCTACTAAAAATCACATAAACACCAGCTGATTCAAGTACGTTTACAGACCTGAGGCCGTTTCTGAAGGTGCTGTGTGTGTGTGTGTGTGTGTGTGTGTGTGTGTGTGTGTGTGTGTGTGTGTGTGTGTGTGTGTGTGTGT